GGCACCTGAGGCTTTAACCAGCATTCCTGCAGCACCACTAACAAAGGCAGCAATGTATCCAGACAGTTTGGGAACCACTACACCAAATATGTGTCTGAACTGTGTCATGCCTACTGACCTCAAGCTGTTCCCATCACCTGTGCTTAGGGAATTCCCTAGATATCCAGCTAAGTGACCCTTCCCATGGCTCTCCCCAACACTACACTTACACCTTGAACACTATCTGCTCCTTAGAACCTGGTTCCTCCGCAATGACCCCCCACTCATGTCTATTTGTGGCATGTACCCAAAATCACTCTGACCTCACACTACTGAACTCTGAAGAACTTCATCTGGTGTCAGACTCAGAAAAGCAACTTTGAGCTTCTTTCTTGAAGAAACACGAAGGAGAGCTGGGTATGGTGACTCACTTGTAACTCCAGCACTGAAGAGGCTGAAGCCTAGGAATCAAATGGTAGCTCACAACCATGTCAACTCCAGTTCCAAGTATACCACTCTGTTCTAGCTTCTTACAGGCATCAGGCACAGCATAAATACAGGTAAGATAAAACACTCAAACATTAAAAAAAGAAATTCCTTTTGGTGGTGGTGGTACATGCCTTTTAATCCCAGCACTGGGAAATCAGAGGCAGCTGAGACTACATAAAGACCCTGTCTCAAAAAAAAAAAAAAAAGATAAGCTGGGTGGTGGTGGTGGTGCACACCTTTAATCCCAGCACTCAGAAGGCAGAGCCAGGCGGATCTCTGTGAGTTCGAGGCCAGCCTGGGCTACAGAGCAAGTTCCAGGACACCAAAACTACACGGAGAAACCTTGTCTCAAAAAACAAAACAAAACAAGCAAACAAACAAATAAATGACGCAATTTACAAGTCATAAAATGCCTAAGTACTCCCTGGACTGGGGGCGTAACTCGGCTCAGTGCTTGCCCAGCAAGTACAAAGCCCTGGGTCCCATCCCAGGTACAGCTTAAACAAGGATGTGGTGGTGCATGCCTGGAATCCCAGCACTGGGGAAGGAGACAGCAGCTTAATGTCATCCCCAGCTACCCAAAAAGTTCCAGGCCAACAAGGCTATAGGAAAGTCCATCTTTCCAATGGAAAAAAGGGAGGGAAAGGAAAGAAATACAAACTCCTGATGCCGGTACAAAGACTGATTTTCCCCCTCAAACTTTTTTTCCTAACGCTTCCATCCGTTTATTCGTCCTCATTGTTCCGGTTTGAGATGGGGGTCTGTGGCCTTAGGCCTGCATGAAAGATGCAGCGGTCCATCCAACCAGCTGGGTTGGGCTCCTGTCCACCCCTCCTTCTGGCTGTCGCTTTGGTCTTAAAGGCCTCTCAAAATCTAAGGCAACGGTGGACAGATTGAATCACAGAAAAGAACGGTCCAATGGCGGATTACATGCTAACAACACTGTATAAGGGAAAGGGATGCAAACACAAGGAGGACCGGGACACCACCTCCGAGTGGAAAGGTGCGGGGGGCGGGGTGCGTTCAGACTGCCTCACCGGTCGCTCCAATCGTCTCCTCGCCGCCTTTCCTCTCTTTCCCGGGATCGGTCATAGTCACTGCGCTCCCTTCGAAATTTGTCCCTGCGTCTTCGATCGTACTCGTCATCACTGTCACCCATAGTGCTGTCAGAGGAGGCCTGGGGCCCGGCGGCGGGTGGACAAGGCGATGATGAACAGGGACCGGAGGAGGGACAGTCCCCCGGGGGCAGCACGCCCGCCTCCCTCCCGCCGAGGCCGGCCTGCCATCCCGGGCAGGGCGATCGCTCCGACAGTTTCACTGTCCCCAGGGGTTCCCCCTTGTCCACCCCCGACGCCCCCGGGCACAGCCCTCGCCTGCCGATCCCGCCACCCGGGCCTTTCCTTCCCCTCCCCCACCTGGCAGCGGTCGGGGCCGTTGGAAGCGCGCGCCGGCGGGCTTGTTTTCCGGGCGGACCGGAACGCGCGACGGTGGGGTCGCAAGGAAGGCTGGAAGGAGCCGCGGCGGTCCTCGGGCCCCGGAGGCCGAGGAGAGATGAGAGGGAGACCGCGGAGGGGGAGGGGGAGCCCCGCGCGCACTGTGCGCCACCCCCGGCGCTCGGCCTCTAACTAAAACAAACCCCCCGACCAAACTAAAACTCAGAGAGAGGAGAACGAGGGAATGATGGGAAAAGGGTGGAGACGCGGAAATCTCGCGCGGTTTTACGACAAAAATCGCTCAAAGCGCTAGGAGCTACGGAAGCTGAGCGGGACCAAGCCAGGCCGCCTGGACCTGGTTCGTTCCTTTTGAACGTGGTCGTTCCTTTTGAACGCGAGGGGGATGGAGATGGAGAGTTTCGCTCCCCACTAACGTCTCCTGGGTCGGAGCTAGTTTGCATCCAGAGGTTGCATTGCCAGAGCCCTGGGCTGGGGCACTTTTTGACCTCTTCAGGGATGGATTTGCCCTCTCCTCGCGCTGTGGATGGGTTTGAGGACTGTGGATGTCTAGGGAATAATGCATAGAAGCAACCATTTTAAAGGCATCGCCTCCCACCATTTTCTTCTTCCGCAGAAATCCACAGTACGTGCTACCTGCAAAACGCATCCTTCCTGCTTTTCTTGGACAGAGGCGCCTAATAGTGCAAACCGTGCAAATCTCAGTTTTAATGCCCAATACTTTAATGGGAAGCAGTACGTAGCAGTCTGGGAACAACCACCGGGGTCCAGTAGCTCCCAGTTTAAACGCATAATTCCCCAAGATAACACTAAGCCCTTCTCAGTGAATAAAATACCAAGCTAAAGAATGGAGCACACAACAGCCTTGCTCCCAGCAAGAAAATCCCAACATGTAAAAAGGTGTCTTTACGCCGGGCGGTGGTGGCGCACGCCTTTAATCCCAGCACTCCGGAGGCAGAGCCAGGTGGTTGTCTGTGAGTTCAGGCCGTCAAAAAAAAAAAAAAAAAAAAAAAAAGTGTCTTTGCAAGGGGCATTTAAAAATTTAGTACAGTCATGTTGGCACAGTCCTGCGACCCCAGCTACTCAGGAAGTTGAAGGGCCACAGAATGAGTTCAAAGCCAGCCTGGACAATTCAGTGAAACCCAGTCTCAAAAGCACTTTCCAGAAAGGTCTGGAAAGATGGTTCAGTGGTTAAGAGCACTTCCTGCTCTTGCAGTGAACCACAGTTTGATTCACAGCATCCATTATGTCTGGTGGCTCATGGGCTGTTAACTCCAGTTCCTGGGGATCTGATGACCTCTTCTGGACTACAAGGGCACTATGCTCAAATGTACATATACCCATACATACACACACACACATAATTTTTTTGTGTGTGTGTGTAGCCCTGGCTATCCTGGAACTCCCTCTGAAGACCTCTGCCTCCCGAGTGCTGGGATTAAAGGCATGTGCCATCCCACCCAGCTCATCCACACATAAGAAAAGGGAAGCAGCCGGGCGGTGGTGGCACACACCTTTAATCCCAGCACTTGGGAGGCAGAGCCAGGCGGACCTCTGTGAATTCGAGGCCAGTCTGGGCTACAGAGCAAGATCCAGGAAAGGCGCAAAGCTACACAGAAAAACCCTACCTTGAAAAACCAAAAAAAAAAAAAAAGAGAGAGAGAGAGAGAAAGAAAAGGGAAACAGTGGTATATATAGCTCAAAGATAGAATGCTTGCCTATCAAATGAAAAGACCTGGGTTTAGGATGTAAGAAACCAAGGAGAGAAGGAGGCTAGGGGGTACAGTTCAGTAGTAGGGCATTTGTTTAGCATGTATGTGTCCCTGGTCCAACCCAGCATCCTCCCGCCCCGCCCCCTAGGAAAAATGTAGGCAGACACAGTGGCACACGCCTGCAATCCCAGCACTTGGGAAGCGAAGGTCAAAGGATCCAGAGTTCAAGACCAGCCTCAGCTGTCTCAGCTATGTATCAAATTCAAGGGTAGCCTGGGATGCATTAGAATCTATCCTTTATAAAGGTACTTGTCAGATCCTAAGAGGGACAGAGGGGTCACCCTGGGAAGGGGAAATAGATAAGATCTCCTGGGTAAACTGGGGGGGGGAAGGGGGTAGAGAGGAGGGGATGAGGGATGAGAACATGAGGAATCAGGATGGTTAAGTGAGGGGAGGGATGGAGAGGGAGAGCAATGAAAGAGATTATCTTCATAGAGGGAGCCATAATGGGGTGAGGGAGAAACCTGGTGCCAGTGAAACTCCCAGGAATCCACAATTGACCCCAGCTAAGAGTCCTATGGAGCCGGGCTGTGGTGGCGCACGCCTTTAATCCCAGCACTCATGAAGCAGAGGCAGGCGAATCTGAGTTTGAGTCCAGCCTGGGCTACAGAGTGAGTTCCAGGACAGCCAGGGCTACACAGAGAAACCCTGTCTCGAAAACAAACAAAAAGACTCCCAGCAACACTGCCTGATCTGGTTTTCCTGTGAATACTCTCATTGTCATCATAGAACTTTCATCCCGTAACTGACAGAAGCAGCTGCAGAGATCCACAGCCAAGCACTGGGCTGACCTCTGGGAGTCCAGTTGAAGAGAGGGAGGAGGGATAACATGGGCAAGGAGGGTCCAGATCATGGCGGGGGAAACCCACAGAGAAAGCTGACCTCACTCGTGGGAGCTCACGGACTCTGGACTGACAGCCAGGGAGCCTGCATGGGACCGACCTAGACCCTCTGCATGTGGGTGACAGTTGTGCAACTTGGCCTGTTTGTTCGACCCCTAGCAGTGGGACCAGGACCTGTCCCTGGCTCATGAACTGGCTTTTTGGAACCTATTCCCTGTGGTGGGATGCCTCGCTCGGCCTTGATGCAGGGGAGAGGAGCTTGGTCCTGCCTCAACTTGATATGCCACACTTTGTTGACTCCCATGGGAGGCCTTAACCTTTCTGAATGGAGACAGAGGAGGAGTAGATGGGGAAGGGGGGAGGTAGAAAGGAGGTGGGGGAGGGAACGAGAGGAGAGGAGGGAGGAGAAACTGTGCTTGGTATGTAAAATAAATAAAAAGTTTTGCTTTAAAAAGTACCTCATCTGGCTTTAGACTATGTCATGGCATCATGGTTAAATGCACCAAGAAGGTCAGCATCACTGGTAAACATAGGACCTGCTCTAATGATGCCCGCTGGAAAGTGGCAAAGAAAACTGAAATCAGCTGGCATGTCAAGTACATCGGCTCCTTCTGGGGCAAGACCAAGATGAAGAAACAGGCCATTAGCATCTGGCACTGTAGTTCCTGCATTAGAACCGTGGCTGGTGAGGCCTGGACCTGCAACACCCCGTCGAGGTCAGTCAAGTCGGCCATCGGAAGACTAAAGGAATCGAAAGACCAGTAGAAATGGAATCATTTGAGAAATCCCTAGCCTACAATAAATGGGTTAATTTATGATGTAACAACAAAAGCATAGGTTAGCAGCCGGGCATGGTGGCACACACCTCTAATCCCAGCACTCGGGAAGCAGAGGCAGTCAGATCTCCGTGAGTTCAAGGCCAGCCTGGGCTACAAAGAGAGTTCCAAGACAGCCAGAGTTACACAGAGAAACACTATCTAGAAAAACCAAATAAATACATAAATAAAGTATAGGACATCGTTCGTTTTAGGCACGATCTCACTATGTAGCCCTCACTGGCCTGGAACTTACTATGCAGTCCAGGCTGGCCTTGAACTCAGAGATCCGCCAGCCTCTGCCTCCCAAGTGCTGGGATTTGAGGTTTACATGGCGTCATCCTATAAGATTCCAATGAGGTGCTGGAGAGATGGCTCAGAGGTTAAGAGCACTGACTGCTCTTCCAGAGGACCTGAGTTCAATTCCCAGCAACCACATGGTGGCTCACAACCATCTGTAATGAGATCTGGTGCCCTCTTCTGGCCTGCAGTCACATATGCTGTATACATAATAAATAAATAAATCTAAAAAAATTAAAAAAAAAAAAGATTCCAATGAAACAGCAGACTTAAAGTGCTTTCAAACTCTTCGGGGATTATTATTTCATGAAGAGAGGAAGGAGGAAGCAACGGGGTTTGTCGACCAACAGTGAAGGCAGATGTCGGGGGCAGGGGGTGGGGAGGTGATGGATGGGGGCTGAGATCCCAGCAGGTACTTCCAGGAAAAGTCAACAGTCAGTGGTGACAGTGGCCGAGAGCTCTTGGATGCGCCAGGCGCTGCAAGCCTTGCACAGGATGTGCCCATCCAGCGGGTAGCAGCCTTGACATTCACCCTCCGAGGACAGCAGCAGCCCGCACTCCTGTGGAGAGAAACCACACCTCCCCGTCAGCCTAAGCGCTCCGGGTCTTTTCCCTTCCCGTAGCCTCCCGGGCTCCGCAGAGCCCTTGCTCCTGGTCCAGGGACCCCCTCACCTCACACTTGTAACAGCCAATGTGGAAACTTCGATCCAGAGCAACGATTCTCACTGTCTCCTCCTGACCTGGTTCTGGCATGATGGCCCCACCACACACTGAGCATCGTGGGGCAAATTTCCTGAGGCGGAAGGGAACCAAGGGGGCTCTCAGGTCCCTCCCTCCCCACAGGAGGCTCACAATGGAGCCCAGTGAAGGTGGAAAGGGGGAGGGAAATGAGAAGGATTGGAGAGATGGCTTTTGGGTCTTGGGGAAGAAAGTGATGTCAAAGCAAGGGAGGACCAGAAGTTAGACAGACGGGAAGACGCAGGCTAGGTCCAATATTCTGAGTTAAGGCAAGACCTGTGGAAATCCTCGATGCAATGGATCTGGCTGGTGGCATCCACGGTGAAAGGGATGCCATCGAGGCCACGGTGACACACCACACAAGTGAAGCATCCAGGGTGGTAAGCCTTCCCCATAGCCCTCAGGATTCGGTCTAGGATGGGTTCAGAGCACGTGGAACACTTCTCTAAGGTGGCCTCATGGGAGAGAGAGGAAGGAGGGTCAGTGAGGGAAGCCGCAGCAGCCAGGAAGGCGCACTGGCCTCCCACACTTCTGGAGTGCGTAGTTCCCCCGCACAGGAGTCAGGGGGAGGTGGTCTTGGCACGTCAGCATTGCAGCTTCTAGACAAGGAATTGAGCCTCCACACACTTCCTTTTCCGGTAAGATGAGTCAACAGTAATGCCTGCCTCTGAGGAATGTTGTCAGACTTTCACAAATTACCTCAACTCTAAAATGCCTTCTAGCTGGGCATGGTGGTGACAGGCACACATCTGTTTTCCTAGCTCTTAGGAGGCTGAGGCAGGAGGCCCATGACTTCAGGGCCAGCCTGGACTACATAGTGAGACTTGGCCTGGAAGGAAGGCAGGAAGGAAGGAAGGAAGGAAGGAAGGAAGGAAGGAAGGAAGGCAGGAAGGCAGGCCGGCCTCCCACGTGAAAGGAACAGCTGTTCTCTGCCTCCCCTCCCCCCTTCAGCTAGTTCCACATTTAACTCCTTGGTCTGGGGGCCATAGCTCAGTTGGTAAGGTGTTTTCTTAGCATGCACGAAGCCCTGGGTTCCATTCCCAGCACCACAAAGAACAGATCTGGTGGGACACACACCTGGAATCCCCAGACCCTGCTGATAGAGGCAGGAAATGCAAAGTCTTCCTTAGCTATACATAAGAGTTTCAGGCAGGCCTGGGATACATACTGCCCCCAAACAACTAACAAGCAATCAAAGAAACAAAACCCCAAATCTTCTTTTGGTTGATGGGCCAACTGATCTTTGGAAACATGGGCGCCAGGCTGGCCTCAAACTCCTGATCATCTCTCCTCCAGATAGGCCAGGGCCACCACCCCGTCCAGCTCCTTCCTTCTTGTAACTCAGCTTGAGTGCCCAGCTTCAAGGCCCCCCATCTTCTGCCCCATCTGACTGAGTAGCTGGCCCTCCCTCGGATGGGAACCCGCCTGCGCCCATCCGGATGCGCGGTTTGGCCGCTCTCCCCCAGCCCACTCACCACATAGCAGCTCTCACAGTACGCCCTCCTCTCCACAGCATAGAAATGCTGGCCCCGGAGCTGGGCCCGACAGGTAGAACACACAAAACAACCAATATGGAAGACACGGTCCAGGGCCACAACCCCAGCCCCATCGCCAACCACGTCTTCTCCACAGCCACCGCACCGACCTGAGGATTGAGAGCAACGAGATCAGTCTGCACGGATCCATGACACGGATCCACCGTCTCCTCCTCCCTCCTCCCAGCCTACCCACCAGGCCAGCTCACCAAAGTACTCCCCGCTGGGCGGGTGGCTCATGTCATGCACCAGTTTCTTGGTCAGTCTCTCTAGCTCCTCTTCAGGAGGTTGGCTTAAGGGGACCTACGGTGAGAGTCAGGGCTTTGTGGTCCTGCCTAGTCTCTGACTGATAGATACCATAAATAATCCGTAAGGTCAGGAACCCTGGAATCTCATCTGAGAACATCTCTCAGAAGGTGATGGGGTGGGGTGGGGTGGTGGAAGAATCCTAGCCCTCTCCCTTTGGCCATCTTGACCCTTGACCTCTGAGTACTTTAAAAACTGGGACTGATGTATTCATTTATTTATTTTTTGGGACACTGTCTCATATAGCCTAGGCTGGCCTGGAACTCATTATGTAGCCAAAGATGACCTTAATCTACTGATCCTCCTGTCTCTACCTCCCACCCTGCTTGGTTTATGTGGTGCTGTGGACAGAACCTTGGGACTCCTCAATACCACGCAAGCAGTCTACCAACTGAACTACATCCCCAGCCCTAAAACCCAGTAAGTACCAACCACCCAGCCTCCATGCCACCCAATGTCCAGTTACCTACAACGACCACAACCCACGGTGCTCCCACCCCTCAACCCAGACTTACCTGGGGCCCATGCCCGCCTCCTCTTCCTCCTCCTGCTGGGCCATGTATCCCAGCGGCATCCTCCTTAACCCCTGGTCCTGGCTCACGGTGGCTCCTATAGCCAGACCCCCAGACTTCACCACGGCCCGGCAAAGGGAAGTGGGGGCCTGGAGGCGGCCCCGAGGCCTGAGAGGCTCCCCGCCTCGGCAGTCCGCAGCCCCTCACGGGTTGAGCCACCTTCACTTGGACAGGGAAGGCAGGACCAGCGGGCGTGCTGGCCGTAGCGTACGAGGCTGGGGTAGGTCCGCCATAAGGGGATGCCGGGAGCATAGGGGTTGGAACAGTACCTCCAGTGGGCTTCAGGGAGCCTGCGCGGTAAGCGTGGGGTGGAGGGGCCTCAAAAGCCTGGGGAGACAAGCGGTGCAGAAACCCCGTGAGTAGGACCAGATCCGACATCCATGCACGCCAGGCGGGAACCCCAGGGAAGCAATGATTTCTGACAAGTTCCCACGGGCAAGGCCTGCACGGGCTAGGTGTTCATCGGCTGCAAAGAGGGGTAGGTTAGGTCGGGGAGTGGCACGGGTGGCTTGAGGCTGAGAATCCACGGCAGGGACCTGGCTGGCTGGGGAGTGGGGAAGCAGACACAGGACACAGACCTGTCGGTCTGGTCGCCGAGGAGGATGACTGCGACCCCCGTCCAGATCGGCCAGCATGCTGGTAAGCGAGTCTATCTCAGCATCCAGGCTTCCAGGGCGGATGACGGCCCTGTCTGGCGGGAGCCCCTGGAGACAGAGCCAGAGCAGGGAGAATACATAGAGAGCACAACCCCCGGGCTCCTCTCTCCCTCGCCCTGAGGAGGAGACCCACACATCCCACCCTCACCTCCAGCACTCACCTGCAGACGCTGGGGTGCTCCGTGGGGTCCCACCCAGGCAGGCCCCCGGTCGTCCGGTACCCCAGGAGGCTGGTAACATTGTTCGGGTGGGAGGGGGCAAAAGTTGACCCTGGGGTGGGGCTGGAGTGCTAAAGAAGGGAGGGGAGAGAGGTGGGGACGGAGAAGGGTGCCTGGTGAAGGCTGCCCTTCTCGGGGCGCCTCTCCGAGGCCCTCGCGTGCCTGGGGCGTCTGGGAGCGGACAGGAGTCAGGGAAGGCTGGAGCAAGGGTAAGGGCCTCTGGCCGGGGGGAGAGGTGAAGGCGGGCGGCCGTGGCTCTCCCGCCACTCCGGGGTGGGTGCGAGAGGGACACCTACCTGCTCCGTGGGCCGGTGGCGGCCCCAGGGCGCCTCGGGGAAGCGCTCTCCCCTGGGGGGCTCTGGAGGGCTCTGGCTGCTTCGGGGGGAGCCAGGTGGGCCCAGACATGGTCTGGGGTGGTTACTCCACTCCAGACAGAGGTCAGGGCCCCCACGAGCCCGGAGCCCGGAGCCCCGAGTCCCTTCCTGCCCCTTCCGTCCCACGCCCCGCTTGGGACTCCCGCAAAGAAACTTTTTCTTGGCTTTTTTTTTTTTTTTTCCCCTTCCTCCCCAATTTTGGGGACGGCCACGCCCCCTGACGTCACCGCATTCCTGGGGGAGGGTCACGTGGTCCCCTAAGCCCTAATCTGCAAACCCTCCTCTCCCTCCCT